GACTTTGTGGATTCTTTCCATAATCTTACTCTTAAATTTCTTCTGCAGCTCAGTTGGGCAAATAGCTTTTGTCCACATGCCAAATTCCTTATGACTGCTGATGATGACATATTTATTCACATGCCAAATCTTATTGAATACCTTCAAAGTTTAGAACAAATCGGTGTTCAAGACTTTTGGATTGGTCGTGTTCATCTCGGTGCCCCTCCCGTTAGAGACAAAAGCAGCAAATACTATGTCTCTTATGAAATGTACCAGTGGCCAGCTTACCCTGACTATACCGCTGGGGCTGCCTATGTGATCTCCAATGACGTAGCCGCCAAAGTCTATGAGGCATCGCAGACAATAAACTCTAGTCTTTACATAGACGATGTGTTCATGGGCCTCTGTGCCAATAAAAGGGGGATAGTACCACAATACCATGTGTTTTTCTCTGGGGAAGGTAAAACTCCATACCATCCCTGCATCTACGAGAAAATGATGACATCTCATGGACACGTACAAGACCTTGAGGACCTTTGGAAGGATGCCACAGACCCAAAAGTGAAAACAATTTCAAAAGGGTTTTATGGTCAAATATACTGCAGGATAATTAAGATAATCCTCCTTTGCAAATTAACCTATGTGGACACATACCCTTGTAGAGCTGCCTTTATCTAAGAATACTTGAATGTTGTCCGTTTTCACTGTCACTGAGCCAAACATGGATGAAAAACCTTTAAACATTTGTCTATATCCTAAGTGAAATGACTATGAAAAACAAATATATTGAAAGCCCAGTCTATCAGAATGTTTCTCTAATTCTAGAAGCTAGTCAATGTAACCTATCTACTTCATTGCCTAAATTCATTTCAAGGAATTTGTATTTAGAAGAGGTTTATGAAAACAAAACGAAAGGGAAATTTAAGTTCTCACTGAATGCCACATGGACATTTGAGGTGTAGAGAAGTTATTAAGCTGCCTTGGTGTTAGAATAACTGCTTTTGGAAAATACCAAGTGAATGTATAGTACAACATTTCAAAGAAATGAATATATTGTTCATTGTTCCCCAGGTATACAAGTTTATGTTTAAGAGCCCTTGATAGAGGGGGTGGGGGCAGGGGAGGATTGGCATAGAAGAAAGCACGTGAATCTGGTAAAAGGACGTCTCCTCTTCAGAGGAGATTTAGGAGAAGGTACATGATTTCTTTATAAACAGCCATTCACTTATTGTCGCATTCTTGTAGCTATTTTCCCTAGATAGTGTTGGAGTCATGTAAAATATATTTATATCTTTTTTTCAAAGTTTAATGTGAAATTAGAGAAGTCATTAGCCCTGCCTTAACTGGCACTTTATATGGGGTTTTTTGATTATTAGAAAATGACACAAAACATGGGCAGTTAGTTACCCCTAGGGTCCTCCTCCAGGGAGAAATCATTGTTAATTCAAATAAGCTGATTTTAATTTAATGAATTTTTAACTGGCTTTTTAATATTCAACATCAGTCTGTTTTTAAGGTAGTTATTTGAATGTAGTTTGCATAGAGGAATAGAATAATGGAGAAGGATTCCAAAGGAAAGATAGAACATTAAAAGCCTCTTTTCTCCATAATTTATAAAATAAAATTCTTAGTGTCTAAATTAATGTAATGATTACTAAATAGCCCGCCCCTCCCCAACAAGGTCTCATAAACCACAGTACTCTGTTCCAAGTTCAGATTTCAAAATTGAGAGTATTAAACATCGACTCAAAGCTATATATCTCAATGAATCTATTCCTTCATCAAAATGACTATCAGAGGTGATGAAGTTGAACACTTTTCAAAATCTCAAACTTGAAAGCAGAATGAAAGTGATAGAAGAGTCGCCAGAATGAGGTTTAATGCGTTCGTAAAGCTGCATGCTCCTTATAATTAAAGAGCTGTGGCTGAGATCTGCTAGAGTCAGTTACTTTTATTTTACAAAGCAGGATAAACACGTGGCGGTGATGCGAACAACCTCCCTTCACTACAGAAAGAACTAGGTGATGTCTATTGTTAGGGGGATTAGATGAAGACCAAAATAGTGACTTCAGCAAAAGCAGTGGAACTGATTATAAAACCTTTGTCTGCAGACGCGCCTGTTTGGGAAGACTAAGATGTCACCCTTAATTAGATGATGTTTGAAACATGTAAAACAGAATGGAAAAGGAATTCTCGGTATACACAACTGGACAATGATACATATAAGTTTTTTGCAGGTAGCTTTTTAATGTTTACATCAACTTTTTTCTATTTTGAAAATTGAAGCTTGTTTACATTGATTGCTCAGATAATTTAGAATTTTTATCTAATGTCAAAACTACCGTGTCAAACATTCTAGTCTGTAATTACTTTCAGAGTAGCTTCAGGGTTTTTAGATCATTACTGTTTAAATTTTCTGACCAATTTTAAAAACTGTAGAGAACAAAAGCACATTTTGACAAAGCAGGTTTATAATGAATTTTTACTAGTTAATTCTTTAATAACCATTTGCCTTTTGGCCATACATACCCTGTGTATCTATACTTTGTTAAAATTTGCCATTGGTTGAAAACGTCAGTGTCTCTCTGGCCATGGAAATGATCTTGTTTACAGCAATACTTTTGTGAAAGTTATTTATTTGCAAAAGAAATCTCCTCAGCTGTTTCATCCTTTTATTTTTGCTTAGAATAGAATGGAACATTTAAATTTAAAGGAAATATGAAGGCACTTCCTTTTTTTAATAAGAAGGAAATCGCTAGATGCTTCCTTCATGAGACGTAAAGTACTGAGAAGAATATTTGTAAATAAATGAATTCCAGCCTTTTAAAAAGGAAGGAACAAACTTTTTGGTGCTCCAATGTAGGGCTGTCTTTTAAAAATCAACAAAGGGAAAATAAACTATCAGCCTGGATGGCCACTTGAGTGGAAGATGGTTGTGCACAGTATTATTGATAAAAACTTTTTACCTCTTGGTTGGTTTGCATCTTTTTTCCATATTAATTTTATACCAAAATGTTAAATATTTATATTATTTGAATTTTGCTCTTGTATGGCAAAATAATTAGTGGGTTTTTAAAAAAAAATCTATGGTTTCCAATAAACAACTTGAAAATTGTCAACAGATGTGTATTTTCACAAAGGTTTTTAAACCCCTGTGTGAACACCATTTGTTTATATAATCAACTTGATCTGTTTAATGTCAAAGAGGCCTGTAGTACACAATCTCAATCCCATTCCTGTTCAGACTTGCTGCTGTGCCCAGAATAGAGGTTTATTGTGTCCTCCGCATTCGAGAGCCACCGAAAACGCCTCTTTTGTTTGTGAAATGATTTATGCTGGAATGTCTAAGTGGGGGAATTCTCTCCAGTAGGTTGTTGGGGAAATGATGAAATCAGAACCTATATCGATAGTGCCTTAAGACACCATTTGAAAGGTCTTATCTTCCTTTTATTTGATATCGTTAGCCAACCGAAAGCATATTCAAATTTACCCGGGTCTCTTCGCGTCAGGAATGTCCTTAGGCCTGCTGTGCCGTGTCTGGTGTTTCAGTCTATTTGTATACAATATGCTCTCATCTGCTTTGCAGCTGATTCCTGCTCAGTTCTTAGGAGAGTATATGATGTCATTCAGTCTATTTACTTTTTAAAACTTGGAAGCATCTGAATTATTTGGTTGTAGGAGAACTTTTTACTTTCGAGGCATGGTTGGGGGGTTTGTAGTTGGGACTAAATTGACTGCTTGGAAGAAGTAATGAACTTGACTTGTATTTGGGACTTGAACTGAACAGGATAGCTGTGGTGAGAATCTGACCAGAGACCTCGATAGACAGGGTTATTCAGTCTGCTGTCATAATGAGAGAAGTGTTGGGTGTCTCCCTGACTCTGTTTCCCCTGCAGTCGCTGCATCCTACAGTCAGACACGCCAGACCATCACAGTCTTCATTACGATAGTCCTGTGCTCCAGACCTCAAAGGCTCTTTACTGCCTTCAGCATCGTATCTAATCTCTTCTACCTGGTTTTCAAGGCCTTATGTAATCTTCCTTTCTTCTCTCCTTCCCTGTAGCTTTATTTTTCTCACTGCCACAATTATCCATCACAAATCTCATCCATGATCATACCTTGCATAGTTGGTTTCCCTTGCCGGGAACACTATTTCTCCCGTACCTGCTGGAATCTTGGAAATCCAACCCTAACTTTGCTCCTCCTTTAAGCCTCTCCTCCCCTCCATCCAAAATATACAATCATGTATATCATTGTGCCACCTACTAATTGTTTCATGTGTTTTTTCCTAGCTAAAATATAAGTTCTGAAGGTAGGGACTGTGCACAGTGCTATCACATAGTGCTTAAAATCATTATTTTTTCAAATATAATCAAGTTATTCTAAAGCCATCCAAATATGAAAAGAGATTATTCAGACTTCATGGACACTATCTGGTATCACATTTTACCTATACTGCTTAAAAGTTTATAATTTATTCAACAAAATATGAATGCTTACTATATGCCACGTATACTGTACCCATCAACTCTGGCCCCGGTTGATAATCGTGTGTCAATGATGGGAACACGTTCCGAGAAATGCATCGTTAGGCCATTTCGTCACTGTGCAAACATCATAGAGTGCACTTACACAAGCCTAGATGGCTTAGCCTACTACACACCTAGGCTATATGGTAGTAATTTTGTCACTGACTAGTTGCCCCAAGGAACTCAAGCGTGGGTTTGGAACCCTTGACCTGTTTTTCCAAATTGTTTTTTTTCCCTTTTGTTATGTTAAGGAAATGCAATCACCAACCACCCTAAACCAGGCCAAGCCTCACCACAAGAACTCTGCCTATGACCTGTGCCTTATTTTTAATGCTAAGATCTCTCCAGGAGGAGTTTAGGCCTTGTTGCCATAACCTGCAGCGTATTGGACGCGTTTTCCAACTGAGCCTGCGTGAGCAAATACCCACCTCTCCCTTTTGAACATTAATTCCCCATCCCAAATAAATGTCCCTGCTCCCCTTTTTTCAGGGATGTCATGATTCTGGAAATGATTCCTCATTGTTTCCTATTTGCTGCAAATACACCTTACTTTGTGAGACAACTACTTCCGGTGGAGAGTCTGATTTAACTCGCCAGGAGCGAACCCACTTTGGTTTTGGTAACATAACCCTTTAAATGCTTTTAAACCAATAATTCAATCAATATTGACATCAGTTTACATTTACTATTTTCTTGATTATCCACTTTTTAAAAGACAGTATGGTCAAGGAGACAACAGGCTCAAAATGGAGTCACTTATGCTAAGCACCTCTTCGTTTGGTTTCGTCAAACCCAGACTTCATACCTAACTTAATCACAGTGGCAGCCTCTCTCAGGGATGGAATCTTGAGCCAGTCAATCTGGAATCACCTGGTCGGCACTAGTGAGCTAATCTGCCTGATAGACCGCTGCCATCCCCCAAAGGAAGGGGATTTGCCACAATGCTGGTGATCCTGTAGTTCTGCCCATCACAAACGTTTCCCTAATTTCCAGTGCCTCGGTTTCTGTGGAACAAACTCAGCCACTTCTCTACCGTGTCAGTCTTTCTAACCCTGGGGGGCTATTTTTCTGCCTCTGGTTAACAACTCCAAACGCAGGGAACCTCGCATCCAGGCTCTGTACAAAGAAAGGGACACCAGGCAAGAGAAACCAGAATAAAACTGCCTGTGTGGTCTAAAGACTCACAAATGTTACTGGCCTCCCTGGCTGTCACTTTTCCAATCCTGAGCTACAGACTCAAACGGCAATTCCCAGGAGGCATTCATGATTCAAAATGTGCTTCCTTTCCTAGATCACTGCTCCCCTGGCTAGGAGTAAGTGCAAATGAGGCTATGATAAGCAACCTCTCCTTAACTCTGGAAGATATTACAGAAGGTGCTGCTAAAGCAATAGCTGCCCAATAAAAATTCCTTAGACTCTCTGGACAAAGTTGTACTTGATAATAGGATGGCCCTTGATTATCTTTTATCTGAGCAAGGAGGTGTCTGTGCTGTGGCCAACACCACTTGCTGCACCTCAATTAACAATTCCGGGGAGGTTGAAAGTCAGTTACATGAGATCACTGAACACGTCGCTTGGCTTAAGAAAGTGACTCCTTCAACAGGGTCTTTCTTTGACTTATTTGATTCTGATTGGTTTAGGTCCTGGGGACCATGGTTCAGAAATACACTCCAGACACTGGGAATTATCTGCTTATAATAATCATAATACTCTCCCTGCTGCACTGTATTCCCTCAAAAGCTTTAAATGCATGTTTGCAGCCACTAACCACCAAGCAAATGATCTCCCTGAGACTGGGACATCAGAAAAGGAATAAAGAGAATTACCAATTTAAAAATATGAACCTGAAGCCATGACTTGCGGATACCACAGAGATTCAGCAAAAAAAAGGTCAAAACTTGTGAATACCACACAGAGGATCAGCAAAAACTGCAAGAACTTCAGGGTGGTAGCTGAGATTGGTGCTAATGCCTTAAATTTTTATTTTATTTTTTATTTTTTGGTGAGGAAGATTGGCCCTGAGCTAACATCTGTTGCCAATCTTCCTCTTTTTGCTTGAGGAAGATTGGCCCCAACCTAACATCTGTGCCAATCTTCCTCTATTTTGTATGTGGGACACTGCCACAGCATGGCTTGATGAGTGGTACGTAGGTCCATGCCTAGGATCCAAACCTGCAAACCCTGGGCCACCAAAGCAGAGCATGCAAACTTAACCACTATGCCACTGGGCCAGGCCCTAATGCCTTAAATTTTGATCACATATCTCACTTAAGCTGAGAGTCTGATCAAAAGGGGAAATTGTTAAGAAAAAAAAAAAAGGCCCAAAATGGAGTCACTTATGCTAAGCCCCACATCAACAAACCAAGACTTCTATCCTAACTTAATTACAGTTTCAGCCTCTTCCAGTAATGGAATCTTAAGCCAGTCAATCTGGAATCACCTGGTCAGCACTAGTTACGTAAGCTGACCTCTGCTGTCCCTCAAAGGAAGGTGACCTTGCCGCAACCGATCCCTTTTTACTAGTATAACTTCCTTCTCCCACTCCCTTCTGTGTATAAAAATCTTCCATTTGGCAGAGCTCCTTGGCACTCCTTTCTATCTGCTGGATGAGATACTGCCCCATTCATGCATCACTGAAAAAAGCCAATAAGACCTTTAAAATGTATGCAGTGGAATTTCGTTTTCTAATAGTATCCTTGGAAGCTTGGTTTATAAGATACCGTTTTCAGCTCCTGCTTGCTGCTTTTATGAGACTCATGAATTTTATTCTCAGGTAAGTAAATGAAGGTTAGTATATAGAATAAATATGTGATTTTTATCTGGGAAAGATAAGCGATGAGATTTAAAACAGAAGATACTCTACCCCAAGCCCCCAATCCCCGACCCTGGTCAAGGGGTTAAAATGACGTTTACAAAGGACTCCGCAGTCTCACCTGCCAGGGGAAAGATTTTCGGGACCGCCGAGATGCTCCGGCTCAGGGTTCTCCCCACCATGACTGCTTTCAAGTATTTCTTCATCCTGAAGTGAAAGAAATTTTGGTATGACAGTCTATTTGATTTTGGGGGGTGGGTGGCTCTTAATCTATATTTTTCTTTCACCAAATTCGTTTTGTTTCATTTTTGTTTAGAATTTTCTAGATGAATAACATATCCTGTTTCTCATCTTTCTCTTTCTTTCTTGGGTTTTCCCCAACCACTCTGCTGATCTGTTACAGTTTGCCCTTCGGGCTGCCTGTAGGAACATCAAAACTCATTCTCAAAAGCAGGTATCCTTGTTCCTCAATGATGAAGGGCTATTAACATTGCGCTCCTCCCCTTCCCCCTTGATTCACAAAAGGGACTCAGAGTTTGAGCTAAAAGGGGCAATAAAGAGATCATTTGACTCAATATCTCCCTTTTTTTTCCAGGGGTGAGGGGTAAAAAATCAAGGTCTGGAGAAATTGAGACCTGCCCAAAGCCAGAAAGAGAGCTAGCGGCAGAGAGGAGAGAAGCCCGGTGTCCACTTTCACATGCTGGTGCTCACAAGTCCGTTCTATCACACCGCCTTTTAAAGCAGCTGGTTCCCTAGGCAGTGCGGCGCGGCCACCAGCGCAGGCTTGAAGCCAGCTGGCGGTCAGAAGCCCGGCTTGCCCAGCTCTGAGACCTTGGGCAAGCTCACTGAACCTCTCTGCCTCCATTTCCTCCCCTAGAACATGGATCCCACGGCACTCCCTACCATAGGGCTGTGGCCTTCTTCAGAATAATACTAGGCATTTAACTCTCAAAAAGAGGTAAGACTCCTACTCAGTTTGCTTTCAAGAAAATATTGGGTTTTTTTCTTTTCTTTTCTTTTCTTTTTTTGAGGAAGATTAGCCCTGAGCTAACATCTGCTGCCAATCCTCCTCTTTTTACTTGAGGAGGATTGGCCCTGAGCTAACATCTGTGCCCATCTTCCTCCACTTTATGTGGGTCGCCTGACACAGCATGGCTTGACAAGCAGTGTGCAGGTCCGCGCTGGGGATCCGAACCAGCAAACCCCTTGCTGCCAAAGTGGAGTGCACAAACTTAATTGCTATGCCCCTGGGCCGGCCCCGAAAATATTGTTTTAACAACGTGTATAACACAGGAGTTCCTCCTGCCTGCCAGGTTCTGTTTAAATGAGTTATTTTACACTCTGACAAAAGGGAGCATAGAGTTAGAAAGGGCCCTCTTGCAAAAGTATTGAGGGAAATTTAATGAGTAAACATAGAGATTCCTTGTAAACTAGAGATGGAAGTTGAAGGATCAGCTTTCCCCAGACTGAGGAATGGACAGGAAGTCTCCTAGAAAAACAGGTGAGAGTGACAGGCCCCTCAGCTAGTTGTTGACAGTGCAAGAAGAGAGTCGTCTACCTGGATTAATAGAAAGCAGTCAAGGTAAGGGGTTTTAATTACCTACAACACTGACCACAGAGACAGCAATTCAAAAGTGTTCAGTCAATGAGAGAAAATCGTAGATCTTGGATCTTTTTCGTAGATGTCTTCCCAAATCGGGTATTGTAACCATGGGTCCTTCAGGACCAGTTCACTGACCCCATCTCTTATCAACAGAGTGATTTAAACTGCCTTTCAGAGAATCTGCAAAGTCGTGTAGCCAAAGTATGTGCAAAAGAAGAACTGTTGGCCTAAAATGACTGTGGATCCAAAGCTCCTCCTTCCCACGGAACCCAAGGGCAGAGACACGACGAGAACGTGAAAGTAGGACTCTTATCAGAAGCAAAGGGTCTCTCATTCAGGAAGATCTGGTGTTAAAATTCCTTCCCCACCTCATCAAAAATGTTTAGAACCCTGTCATAAAAGTTTAGAACCTCATCATAGAAGTTTAGAACGCTGTCATAAATGTTTAAAACCTTACCATAAATGTTTGAAGCCCACCCATAAAAACTTGTCCCAAAAGCATTTCTGCATGCCAGTCTGTTCTCCCTAACCTCTTAAATTTTGCCCCAAATCCTCAATCCAGGAGACAGATCTGAGGGCACGTGCACCCTATTCTCCCTGTAGATGGGTCTTGCAGAATAAAGCTGATCTCTATTCTATGGTTAGTGTGGTGGATTGCAAAGTCTCTTAATTCATGACCACCGAGTGATGGAAAAATAGCAATGGCTCAAGATGTAGGTATGGATTTTGTCATCTTTTACACAAAATGATGGTGTCCCTCTAATTTATGGACTTTGTCATGCATGAGGTGACTTCATGAGCTTGCTGAAAGGCCTGGGCATGGACTTGGTTGTGTCAACCCATGTTCCTGTGACCACATGTCAGATAACTGGTGTCAGGGTAGAGGGAGAGTCCTCTGCCAATCAAGTTTGATGGAATACAACATGGGTAACTGTTATCGAACCAGATTCGTTTTTGCCTGCCGCCCAGAAAGCCAAACACCAAGTCGACGAGATTGCCGCAGAGAGAGGGTTTACTCAGAAGCCACGCGAGGAAGCGAGAACGTGAGCCTCAGATTCCCTTCCTCGAAAATAGGGACTCAGGGATATTTATGGGATCGGGGGCAAGGTTGTCTGAAATGTGGGGAGAGGTGATTGGTGATGAGGAGGGGTGAGGTAATTGACGATCTGCCCAAGCGGAGTCAGAGTCACACCGCTTCACAGGACCCGTGCTGACAAAACGGCGGCGTTAGCATGATCTGAGGGTGGAGTTTTTAGCCTCTTGACATCAAAAGGTCGCCTATCGGATATCTGCACAGGCCCAGTTGATGAGTTGGTGGTCTCAACAGGCCTGAAGTGGACAAGGAGTTCTAATTCCTGAGAAACAGCTCACCTACTCATTACCATAGTGACCCAGGCTCCAGGGAGATGTTATCTATAGGAGCCTAGTGGGAGTCAGATAGCATATCGCCTAAGCAGCACAGTTAACATTGGGTGGGTTAAACAGCTAAAAGCTATAATCAGTAATTGCAGAAAGGAAAAAAACTTTAGTGCCTAGATACTTAGTCATCAATGGCTATTTGCCAGTTTCATAACGTTGAGGATATACTGGGACAGATCCACAGCAGATCTGGGGACTACTTTAATAAGAACCTGCAGTGAGGTAGTTAACTACACTGCAAACCAATGTTTGCTAAGGTTTAGACAGATTAATTGCATTCTAGTGCAGTGGCTTTCAAAGTCTGATCACAACCCACAGGAAAAACGTTTACAACATAACACACATAAGAAATATATATTTGAGGGTGGGCCCCATGGCCGAGTGGTTAAGTTCACATACTCCGTTTTGGTGGCATGGGGTTCACCAGTTCAGATCCTGGGCATGGACATGGCACCGCTCATCAGGAAATGCTGTGGTGGCATCCCACATAGAGGAATGAGGAGAACCTACAACTAGAATATACAGCTATGTACTGGAGGACTTTGGAGAGAAAAAAAAAGAGGAAGATTGGCAACAGATGTTAGCTCAGGGCCACTCTTCCTCACAAAAAAAAAAAAAAGGAAAAAAGGAAACCTTGTGGTCAGCCTTGATTTAAAAAAAAAAGGCAGAGAGAAATATATATTTGGGTATTGTCCCGTTTCTGGTACAGAGCTCCTAAAACCCTTGGAATTTCCTACGTGATAAGCACAATAAAGGTGTCTTGATATTCATAAGAAACCCCTTTCAAACACACCTGAGTTTATGTTAATACAGCAACTTCTATAAAGCACCTAAGAATGGGGGCTGGTTGCCAGGGGGAGTTAGAGGGTTGGAACTTTCAACCCCTTACCGCCACTTCCAGGGAGGGGAGAGAGGTTGGAGATTGATTTCAATCACCAATGGCCAATGGTTTAATCAATCACGCCTATGAAATGAAACCTCCATAAAAACCCAAGAAGAGGGGCAAGCCTGGTGGCGCAGCAGTTAAGTTCGTACGTTCTGCTTCGGCGGCCTGGGGTTCGCCAGTTCAGATCCCAGGTGCGGACATGGCACCGCTTGGCACACTCGCTGTGGTAGGTGTCCCACATATAAAGTAGAGGAAGATGGGCATGGATGTTAGCTCAGGGCCAGTCTTCCTCAGCAAAAAGAGGAGGATTGGCTGCAGATGTTAGCTCAGGGATAATCTTCCTAAAAAAAAAAAAAAAAAAACCCAAGAAGAGAGCTTCTGGGTTGGTGAACTCGTGGAGACTGGGAAGAGTGGCTTGCCCAGAGAGCAGGGAAGCTTCACACACCTTCCCACATACCTTACGCTATGCATCTCTTCCATCTGGCTTTTTCTGAATTATATCCTTCGGTGATAAACTGGTAATCTAGTAAGTAACATGTTTCTTTCAGTTCTGTGAGCCGCTCTAACAAATTAATCGAACCCAAGGAAGAGGTCGTGAGAACCTCTGATCTACAGCTGGTCGGTCAGTCGGAAGCACCAGTGACCACCTGGACATGACTGGCTTGGCCTTTGAAGAGGGCAGGGGCAGTCTGATAGGACTGAGCCCTTCACCCGTGGGATCTGATACTGTCTCCAGATCGACAGTGTCAGAATTGAGCTAACTGCCTGGGGGTGATGGAAAAAAAACATACAACCGACATACATATGACTGATGTGATACACTCTATTTTTCATTTATGCTATCCCATTGCACTCTGTTCTTTTTACTTATTTATTTATTTATCTTTTTAAAGATTGGCACCTGAGCTAACAACTGTTGCCAATCTTTTTTTTTTCTTCTTCTTCTCTCCAAAGCCCCCCAGTACACAGTTGTGTATTCTAGTTGTGAGTACCTCTGTTTGTGCTATGTGAGACACCACCTCAGCATGGCCTGATGAGCAGTGCCACATCCGTGCCCAGGATCTGAACTGGTGAAACCCTGGGCCACCAAAGTGGAGCACACAAACTTAACCACTTGGCCACAGGGCCGGCCCCTACTTATTTATTTTTAAACGTTGGTGAACCCACCAAACTAAGTTCACTATCACCATTGTGACCTGTAATTTGAAAAGCTCTTAAAGGGTGAAAAGAGCAAACAGGTGTAAGAGGTAGACCTGGGGGGGAATCCCCCGCTTACTTTTTATTTCAAAGTGGCCCTGGGGCCAGCCCCAGTGGTCTGGTGGTTAAGTTTGGTGCCTTCCCGAATTCAGCAGCCCAGGTCGGTTCCCAGGTGCAGACCTACACGACTCGTCTGTCAGTGGCCACACTGTGGTAGCAGCTAACATACAAAAAGAGGAAGATTGGCAACAGATGTTAGCTCAGGGCAAATCTTCCTCAGCAAAATAAAGTAAAATAAAACAAGTGGCCTTCAGCAAGACTTCTCTGCACCTTAGTTCTCTATCTATAAAATAGGGCTACTTACCTTTACATCAAAGGGTTGTTGTGGTGATTGGAGATAACTGATTAGAGATAATGTATTAAAATGCTTAGTACAGAGAAAAGACACAATAAATGGCATTCATGGTTGGCACTTATGGTTGGCTCTTTGATGTCTACTTTGTGGGGATTAAATAGGTAATGTGTGTAAAGCACTCAACACACGGACCTTCAGTAATTGCTGGGCGGTTCGTACCTGCACACCTGTAATACAGACCCCATATTTCTCACTAGCAGGGAGATATTGGCCAAGTTACTTAATCTCCCTGGGCATCCGTTTTCTTCTGTGTAAAGTGAGAGAGATGTATGATTTGGCTACGAAACTTCCCTCTGTTTATAGGAATATAAAATACCAACATAGGTGCTCTTGCTTCTGATTTTGAGAAGAAAGGTAAACTGTAGCCAGAGTACTTTTGGGGAAAATTTAAATTAGGCTTCCTAAAAGCTCTAAGAGGAAGAGAGCATATTCAAATAAATACTTGCTTTTTTCAAATAATGGTCCTTTTATTCAAATAATGGGCCAAGAATTGACCACAGACCAACCCACCAATTGCTGCTATATTTCTTTGTTAGGGATTCTGTGTGAGTCTTACTGGATTGTGAGATGATGCTCTTTCAAAGCAGAGTAACAAGTACCTTATGAAATAGTAGCCTTTTTCCCTTCAGTCAGCCTGACTTGGAGATGCTGCTAGGGTATCCCCACGGTGGGGATTTTCTCAGCCAATTGGTGCTTTAAAAAGGAACCAAGCCATAAACTCCCCTATGGGGAGGCCACTCAGGTGGAAAAGCCCCTCCCCCTTTATATTCATTCTGTTCCGAAGACGAAGGGTGGCAGTGAAGGCAGGCAGGCTGGCCACTGCTCTGCACCAACATCACTCCCCTCCAACCCGCTCCACCCCAGCCTCCCCTTGGTCTCACAGTGACACCAGCCTACATTCAGGTTCTCCAGGAGCACTTTAATGATGCCTTCCTGTGTCTTCTCAAAAACATATAATCTAATCGTTTAGTTTCCCCTACATTTTGAAGAAAGACATGTTTCAAAATTGAGAAAACAGGCTAAGTGCCTAGCTTGAAGGAATCTTATTAAAAAATTTTATTTCAATTTCTCTGGAGAATACATCTTTTTTAAAGCATCAATCAACTTTTTAAAGGTATCAATAGCTAATTTTCAATTGATGACTAAAATATTTTTTTCTTCCCCAAAGGAGAGGTAGCAACATTTGAGCTGAATCAAATTAGTCTCTCCCTGAAGTTAAATGATTTCACGTTACGATTTTAGGGGTACTTGGAAAACTACTCAGTTTCAACTCCTTTAAAGTGATGCTATCTGGCCACTTAAGGTGAAAGCACTGTTTATTATATTATCACATTTCTTAAATAGAGAAGCTTACCAGACCTCACTCAGAGAAAAGGTAAAGCAGATAAGGGGCAGAGCCACCCTCTTCATTTAAAGTATAAAGGGTGAGCATTGTTTAAGGCTAAGCCTTTTCTGGCATTGTAATTATGGTTATGCGTCACTTAATGACAGGGACACTTCTGAGAAATGTGTAGTTAGGCTATTTTATGGCTGTGCGAACATTATAGAGTGTATTTACACAAACCTAGATGGTACAGCCTACTACACAGCTAGGCTGTATGGTACTAATCTTATGGGACCACCGTCGAATATGTGGTCCGTCGTTGACCGAAATGTTGTTGAGGTACATGACGGTAATTACGAAAATCTGAGAAAATAAATGAGGAGGGATGACAAGTAAG